TCGTTTGTGTTTGTGTTGCTCTCAGTGGGACCGGCTCAGTTGTGAGAGATAACGCAGCTACCTAGTGCGCTGTTAAATCCATCGCTCTGAGCCTGTCTTTGTAAATTTCGAAACTAATTTTGGATACGCAGGTTCTCCCGGAGATGCATATTAATGTCCCGGCGAAGTTAGCGATCATGCACAACAAGCAGAGTGTGGACTTTACTCATTGATGTCTTTCTACGAGGCCGTAACGAGACTGTTTGCCCTTGAAGCCGATGTCCTTCCCTCCTGGTTACAACGACTGACATGCAGCGATCTACACTCCTTTACCATTAACATGCACGTGTGAGCACAGACATAAACACATGTATGCGTGCACACCAGCTTGGCTGCCTCCTGTCCCTGGCAGAAAAACACTGATTCTGCTCTACTGGCTCACTGACCGACATATGGATGGATGGAGGTGGCTCGTGGCTTGCCATGATCGGTGGTGTGTGTGTACAGAGTGTGTGCATCATGCGGTAATGTGTCCACATGTCACAAGTATGAATGGATGACAAGCTGACTGGTCTTGTCTGCGAGCCAGTGGCCAAGCTGTGCCGTCTCCTCCCCCTTCTGCTCGGTTACAGTTGGACCCGCGGCCGCTTCTCTCCGGGCATTACCCCGTCTATAGCTCCTTCACCCCATATGTTGTCTTTCTTCCCGCTAAACATCTCTCCCTGCAATTCTAAAGTGAAATTTTAATATTGCATTTTATGTTTTCGGAACCAAGCAATGGTTTCATGAACAGATAAAGATTAGGGAAAAAGTAATGTTAATTATGTTCTGTATGACTTTCAGAAAAGGCAGTTTTAGTAAAAAAAAATTAAATAAATAAGAAAAAGACATCCATAACCTTGGACCTCAAGCTTTGATTAATGTAAGATGACCTCTGCTAGTCGGCTGCCATGTTTAGGAAGATTAGATGGCCAGCAGAGTAAGTGTGAATAAGTGTATTAGATTTTAAATTAAAAGCCTCTAAACTAAACTATTAAGATGTTGACCTCTGGGGCATGAAGCTTATGTTGCTGTAACCGTTTAACACATTCTTGTTAATCTAATGAATTGACCATAAATACAGTCATAAAAACATATTTCTGGCTTTTACTTAATGACATGTTGTCTTCAGAAATGCAGCAATTTAGTGTAAATACATTGATTGTTGTTTGTCGAGTGTTGTTTCGTCCACCACTTGTCCAAAGCCATGGCGGTGGAGCGGTGCCTTGTGCACATCGCTGCCACTTCGCCTCACCTGTTATCATTCCCGCTTTGTCTGCTGCGTGGCGTCGCTAAAAAGGTTCTGTCCCTGTGTTGTGTTAATTAACAACAAAAGAGGTTGCAAGACCCGAGGGGTGATCAAGCTGGCACCGCCGCCTGCCTCCCCACCACCTCCTCCACCTCCACCACCAGCACTACGATTTTACTCTCCTCCGTTGCAGAGAATTACATGGCTTCTGCTTCATCCCTCCTACATTCACTCATCCTCCCTCTGTTATCCGTCCGACGCTTCTTGCACGCACTATAGCCTCCGTGTTAGCATAGCCAACCCGTTTTTTTTTTTTTTAACTGACACACATGGCTGCCCTGTTGACTTTGATCCTCAGATCTCAGTATCAAGGGACCATTCACTCACTTGCCGGAGGGAGGTGACAGAAATGTCTGTGTTTTCCTTCTGCGTGCATGAGAGAGAAAGGCGAGAGGAAAGTAGTGCAAGGTGCAACGAGTGGAGAGTGAGAGATGACAGATCCTCTGATCCAATATTTTTCCTCCTCTGAGATTTTTTTCTCTCTGTGTGACACATGTGACATGAATCTAATCTCTCTTTGCGTCTTTGTTGTTGTCTGGCTGTGTCTAATCCTCTGTCCTCTATCATCAGACTGTTAGCCACAGTGATGAAACTATTGATGTTCCTGGTCATCTGTGCGCTCGCTCATTCGCTGATTCAGACGCGGGGCTGTAATTTAAAGAATCAATAGCGAGCTGATGGAACTATGCTAAATTTGCTTTCGTCCTTTGCATTTGGAGTGGCGCCAGTTACCTCTTTGTCCAGCCTTCCCGGTACCTTCTCTCTCTCACGTAAGCAGCTATTGTAATCGTAGTTAACACCTCTACAATAATCACCACCGCCGTTCCAACCTATTGATCCATTTAGCGTGGCAGGATATGACACTGATGGGGAACCCTGTGGGTCGAAGCGTTGCCAATCAGCATGTTCACTAACAAGCTCCTGCTCCGATGTCTTCTGCTAATGATGTCCACTCCGCAGCAATAACCGCCAACAATTTACACTCAACCTCTGGTTTTTTGATTATTTTTGTTGTTCTTTTTTTTTCCATTCAAGTTGTAAACCTGTTTAGTTATGGAGAAATTGACCAAATTGGCTTTCATTTGAGCTGCCAAACATGAGACGGAAAAAACCCCAAAAAACAAGGAAGATAAAAAGAGAAGGTGCGTGTTCATCTGACCACCTGTCCGTGTGCTCATGTGTCTCGGTGAACGGTGTCCAAGTGCCGGCTAATAAAGCCCTAATGAAGTGCCATGGAGATATGGCAACCGGGGAGAACTGTCCACACTCACAGATGTGAAACTTAATGAGAGAGTGTGCCGTGCACAGGAGCCGAGCCAAGACACAGGAAGGCCACCTGGCATTTTTACTATAGCATAAAGTTATGGAGGAGTTATCTGTGTGTGTTTGAGGCTTTGATAAGGAATTTGTCACCGTGTGCGGATGTGTGTGTTCATTTCTTATTGTGTTGGATTAGTTCTGCCGAAATCCATTCACCAGCCGAACACATGCTCCGACTCCCCTTACAGGTGAAAGCAAGTGAAGTGTTTTTTTTTTTTTTTAAAACAACTCATAATTGTGGGCGATTTAATGAAACTGTTGCCAGAAAGAGCAAGGGTTGCTTCACAGATTTACATTAGCGTGTTAATAAACAACTAATCTCGCAATAAGCGGGCTGTTGTATAGTTAAGTCTTCACATTAAGCCTCATTTCTCTTATTTCAATTAACTAAAAGGAGGTGCTTAGAGGAAGCTTACGGAGCCAGCTGCTGGCTCTGTAGCGATTCGACAGCTCATCTCTCCCTGAGTCCTGGTTAGCATTAGTCTCCTTGCAGGGAGCCCCGCTTTCAGCTTTGCAAGCCGGCCACCACGGGCTCATTCTTAACAGCACACCTTAGCCTCAGGTGAGAGAGTGGCATGGTGCACCGCTGCTGATAGCACTCATTAGTGTGTGGATTAGCCCTGATTAGCCTAGCTTTTTCTCCCACTGACACTCCGTGCCGGTGCTAATTATGCATTTACCCTTTTTCGACAAGCTGTGTGCCTAGTTTTACAATATCTGTAAGTATATTCTCCTGCGAGTTCATCCTTGACTCCGGGTTTAACTACGGTTGCACTGCATTGCATTTTTCTCCTCGGTGACTGAATGTGTGCTTTGTATGCAGATTTCATCGTATGCATTTGAGATATGTTGCTTTTGTCAGAAGGCGATTGTGAAAAGTGTGTCAGGATAGACTACAATGCCTGCCTGAGCAGACAGAGACCACTAACAGAAGCTGTTCTGGAATGAAAACAATGTGAGCGTATGAATAATTAAAGGGGGAGGCACCTGATTTTATGCCCAGTGAAGCGAACAGCTTTGGGAGAATTTAACCAAAAACATAGTTAGGTGGCAGATCAGAGTTTTGACTTGATTCCGCATGAGCGTTCATAAAGCTGAGCCACGCTGAGTGTGACATTAAAACAACGTGACGGCTGTCACAGACAAGTGACATAGTGAAATTGACTTTGATGAGATTGAGATGAGGCAGAGGAGCCTTTAACTCACTGTTTTTTCATCTTGATCCCTGTCAGTCAAAGTTAGACGCTGAGGATGGAGGGGAAGGACGGACGAGGAACGTGGAGGAAAGGGGCTGAGCAGATAACTGCAAGGGGAGCAGGATGGGAGCGCAGGGTGCCGCAGATTAGCCGTGGCTTCTGTCGAACTGCGCTCCATGCTGATTTTCAGTGGCAGCTGTACATGCTGACAACAACCTCTGGAGATGCTGACACAAATCCAAACTGATCAGCTCAATTTTGGTGAAATTTAGCTCCTACTGCTCTCAAAGTACACTGTTCATATCTCTCAGCAGCTCAGTAAGCAAAAAAAAAAGCAAACTTGTGTGGACTCAGCCATCTGCTTGTTCTGGACAGCGTTGTGTATATATGTACATTCAATATCTCAGACAGACTGCAGGAAGGAAAAAAATAAAACTCCAGCGGGACACGCTGATGTACCTGAGTGGACATTCTGACCCCGTTTCACCTTCGGGCTGTACTCTAAGTGGACAGAAATGTTCAAATGCGGCACGTCTGAGTCGGACACGTCGTTCTCCTTCATGTTTTTTATCTAAACAAGCTGATTTATGTTCACCTCGAGGAAAGCGCTGGATTGTGAAATGTGATTGCAAAGTATTCAGCAAAGGCTTGTTTTGAGAGAGTGTGTGTAAGATAAGACACACGCCACCTGTTTTCCTTCAGTTTTTGAAGCAAACCGTATTTTTCAGCCGAGATAGCAGCGCCTACCGGCCCGGATGCCAACCGGAGTGTGGTCAAAGCTTATCTCTGTCCTTTCTGCCAGTAGAAAGTGCCCATCAGCTCCTTTCTTTGGTTTACTTATTCCTCTTAAGCCCTTGTGCTGGTTTGTGTGAAGTGTTATTACAGGCCGGTGTCTCTCTAAAGGTCACCTTCACAGGTAACCTCAGAAAAGCGATTGGTGAGACCTCATCACAGGCTGTTCCTGGGCTGCTTTATCAGTCTCCTCGGTACTTTATTGTGGCTCCAGTTAGAGGAAGGTTGCAGTTCAAGAGGGTAGATTATGATTATTGGTTGTAGAGTGGTTTTTTAGGAATTTAACTGTGTTGATGTTGCAGTAATCAAAACTCTTTTTTTCTCTCTCTCTGTTCCCTTCCTCCTTCTATCTCTGTCTCTTACAGGTGGAGCGAGAAATAGCTATTCTGAAGCTCATAGAACACCCGCATGTTTTAAAGCTACATGACGTCTACGAAAATAAAAAATACTTGTAAGTATCAACAATTGATTATCATCCATCCATCCATCCATTATCTATACACCGCTTAATCCTCAATAGGGTCGCGGGGGGGCTGGAGTCTATCCCAGCCGACTTAGGGCGAAGGCAGGAGACACCCTGGACAGGTCGCCAGTCTATCTACACTTAGAGACAGACAACCAAGCACACTCACATTCACACCTACGGACAATTTAGAATCACCAATTAACCTCAACATGTTTTTGGACTGTGTGGGAGGAAGCCGGAGAAGCCGGAGAGAACCCACACTGCACGGGGAGAACATGGAGACTCCACGCAGAAAGATCCCAGTGCCCCCACCGGGACGCGAACCGGCAACCTTCTTGCTGTGAGGCAACAGTGCTACCAACTGCGCCACCCTGATTATCATCTACATTTGATTTATGTTAAATATGCTAAATCCTAAGTGTGCCCCATAAATGAAATGATTGCAAGTTTGTGTTAAAACTTTTGTGCCTCACAGATGTCATTAGTGCCATCTTGGACAATCTTTAAAATGCCACAGATCATTTTGCTGGCCGACAGTTGCGATCAGTGTATTATGATTGCGGGGCAGTAGCCTCGGAGGGGTGGATGCTCCATTAGTATTGGCATGAAGCATTTAATTTGGTCGCGCATGCAAGGGGACTGCTAATAGGGAGAGGAAGCCTCCGTAATGTAAACACCATGACACGCTTATCAGAGGCAACACCGCTGCATTAAGAAACATTAGCCACGGAGGGTCCACCACCACCGCAGCAGCAGCAGCAGCAGCTGCACGTACGCAGACACACATAAATCTATTAGCTAACTTTAACAGTGGTGAGTGACAATCCCATCAGTCATTCAAAGTAGACCTCTTGATCCACAGAGGACTGTTTGTCAACCGAATTCAATTAGTTGTCATCTTGAGCTTACAGGCCAAATGGGATTGGGCATGCAGCGCTGTACATGTCATCCTTTAAGATGATACGAATAGCAGAATATTATGATTCATCCTATAATTGGATTATTAAAATCACATTTTGTGCCCATTGCTTCATCACTTCTGACAGACGGTCACTAATAGCGTCACAGAAGACAAATTGCTTTACATTTGCATCACGAGTGACTTGAATACACTCTGCGCTTCACTCCGGTGATGTAATTTTGGTCTTAATATGGTTCAGATTCTTACTTGGATATCTCCACTTGAACGCCAATAATTGATAGACATACAGCATGTTTGGAGCTGGCCGTCCCAGAGCTTTAAAGATTTATTATTCTGCTGGCACAGATCCTACCACTGGCTGCTTAAACTGGTGTGATGTGTGTGTACAAGAGGTGAAAGAGAAGTGAAAGGAGTTTGATACATTGCCCACCGATATTTTATTTATGCATCTATCATTGCTACGAATTAATGAACGCTCACATCAATCGCTCGATAGTCTGTGACTATAATGCATATGGCTGCACTTGATTTGCAACAGCATTCCTGCTCTGTGTTGTATTTCACTTTCTTTTTTTTTTTTTTTCTGCCGCCGTGTTCAAAAGGTAACAAAATGATGAATGGCAGCAGGCAGGTTCTTTTAAATGCACATTCTTATGTTTCAATAGCTGCCATCGGGACGCAATCAGGCAAAAATCTTTTCCAAATCCTGCAGGCAGTGCATCCAGAAGATTTATTTATCTAAATGAAATCTCCACTATGAAGCCTTACATCACCTTATGAATGTACGACCTGGATATATAGGAATTAAAAGTAGTAAATCTGTGATTTAGTGTTGTACTTACATGAACTTTGGGTGCTTGTTAGAGTTTAAAAAGAATATTTAACCTGTGCAGCACAGGCAGACGGATCCTGATGTAAGTACGGGTCAGGCAAGTTTCCAGCTTGATTGCGTCTTTTCAATAGACCCACTTTCCATCAAAAATATAACCCCGGTGACATGATGAGGGGTGTTTTTGCAGCTTGTAGAAAGCTCCCTTACATAGCCACAAAAGATGCACAACAGTTTTAATCTGACAGGTTATATTTTAAGTCAGAGGTTGCATACTGAGGTTAGAGTCACTAAAACAAATTTCAAATCACTCCACAGTTTGCAAACTATACTTGTGGCAACATCCAAGTCGACTGTGCCTTTCACCAACTTCCATAAAATTATGTTGAGGTTTATTTATTGCTCCTGGTCGACTAAATGACACGATTTGAGTTAACTTAAAGTGTACCTGTGGATGTATTTCAAGGCCTACATAAAAGCCTCTTTGCTTGACATAATGGGACGGTCAACCTGCCAAGCGCTCAGGAAAACACGTGGACCCTCTCACGTCTGGTTTATCGTCACAAGCAATTTCCAAATACCGGAAAGTACGACGTTTATCTGCACTTTGGTTCTGCGCAGCCATCATACCGCTCAGGAAGGAGACATGTTCTGTCTCCTAGAAACAAGCACGCTTTAATGTGAAAAGTGGAATCAATCCCAAAACAACGGCAAACGACCTTGTGAAGATGCGATCGGAAGCAGTGTTCACAGTGCAATGAGTATATATCAACAAAGCCTGAAGTGCTGCTCAGTTAAAAGAGGCCATCATAGAAAAAGGCACAAGGCCACAGTTTCTAATGCACGTGAATGCAAAGATCTTACCTTTCGGAGAAATGTCCTCTAGTCTGATTAAATACACATTTTGCTCTGTGGCTGCAGCGAGTGTTGCTATATTGGGAGAAATAAGGCTGAGGCTTATAAACCAAGGAGCACCATCTTAAGAGTGAAGCACGGCGGTGGCAGCATCATGTCGCAGGAATGCTTTGCTGCTAGAAAGACGGTTGCATAAAATAGATGGTGTTATGAGCAACGAAAAGTATGGGTCTACACAGGACGTTGAAGCGTGGTTGCAAATGGGTTTTCCAAATGGACAGTGACTCCAAGGATACTTTTAAAGTTGTGGTGAAAAGGAGTAAGTAAATGAAATGTGGTCATCTTAAATCCCTGACCTTGATCTAATTAAAATATGGTGGATAGAACTGGCCTTCGCCCTAAGTTGGCTGGGATAGGCTCCAGCCCCCCCGCGACCCTAATGAGGATTAAGTGATGTATAGATGATGGATGGATGGATGGATGGATGGATGGATGGATAGAACTGAAAAACATGTAGAGCTGGAAGACCTACAAACCTGGCTGAGTTACACCACTTCTGTCAGGAGGAATGGGCCAGAATTCCCCTTATAGGGAGAAGCTTGTTGAAAGGCTAAAATGAATTTGAAAGGCGCAAAAGGTTTTAGTTAAGTAAAACAATTCGAAGGCAATTTCTCCAAATAGTGACAAAGTGTGTGTAAACCTGTGACCCACTGAGAAACCTACTGAAAGAAATAAAAACTTAAAATTAAAACTGAAGCAGTGATTCTAACTGAAATGATGTCAGGAAATTAAAAAACTGAATTTGCATATATTGGGCTAAGGTGTATGTAATCTTCAGACTTCAACCGTATACTAATGACAAATCCAGTGATTTTGACGTGAGTAAAATCAGTAGGGTGCCCTGCTAATACTTGGATGAACTGCATTGAAATCACAGTCTTGTGCTCACTTGCGTGCAACTCAAGCGTTCATGACTTGTGTTTGGACCAGTTGCTAAATGTGCCATAGCACAGCTGAGTTTGCTTGAAGGACTGAAGGTTGTTAAGTGAGCACATGCTCTGTGGCCAGAGTGTGGGGTGGTGGGGGGAGTATTTTACTGCCTGTCTGGATTTCAATTTGTACCAGTTAAGATGAAGGAGCAGGGGCAGGGCACTGTTGGCTTTCAACGTACAGATGTAGCTTTAGGCTTGGGTCAGCAGAGATTCATCTCCTCCCTTTCCCCCCCTCGCAGCCCCAGAGCACGGCCATGCAGTCAGGATGACAGACTGCCGCTGCAGAAACCTCACACTCACAGTAATGTAATTCCAAGGATGATGTTTGGATTCATTAAACAGCTACTGCTTCATTTACGAGACACGAGGACTGTATATGTACAGCAAAGGATGTTTTCAGTCTCCGAGCTCTTTACCTCCTCGTCTGACTCTGAAGCAAAGACAGAAGCTTTACGGCATCTGCAGAATTCACAAGCTCCAAATCCTTTATATCTAAGAGAGTTTCACACAACTTTACCATTTTTTTTTGTAAGTAATGCATCTATATCATCCCTTTGGTGCCTCTCATGGGAAATCAGATTGTCAGTACTACAGAACCCGTCACATATATTTGTAATCCACCGTTGGCATGCTTCACTCTCAGATTGTGGGAAAAGCTTGCAGATGACAAAAAAGAAAAAACAGTCAACATGAATATGGCTTTTGGAAGATCAGATCATTGATCCCGGGTGTTTGTCTGTGTATAATGGGTTTGAGGGAAGCACATTTCCCACATCGCTGACAGCTCTGACAGACCTCAGAGGTCTAAGGTTTTCCTTTTCTTCAGGGCTCCATCAGACGAGCACAGAGGAGAGCAGCACTATTTGTTTCTTTTCCTACAAGTGAAATATTTAGTTTCTGAGCTTGTGCATGACTTCTTTTTCTCCTTTGCTCCTTGTGTCTTTGACCGATTTCCCCCTTTCTTCCTCTCTCATTTCTCAGGTACCTTGTGCTAGAACATGTGTCTGGTGGTGAACTGTTTGACTACTTGGTGAAGAAAGGCAGGTTAACGCCTAAAGAGGCCCGGAAATTCTTCAGACAGATCATGTCTGCCCTGGACTTCTGCCACAGTCATTCCATATGGTAAGTGACATATTCGTCATGCAGGCTCGAGCTGTTGCTGCTACTGTGGATGTAGCGAAGGGTTGGAGTGGACCAATAAAGACATTTAGTGACGCAATCCTCCTTCATTGATGATATTCATTTAGATGCTGTTCATTGTCTTTTGATGTTCAGATGTACAAGAACAGTCGTGACTCGATAATCCGACACTAAATGTAAAACCTTCTTTTATGTCGGATAGCAAGGCTGTCAGATTGTCAAGACGGAGGTCCAGATACAAGGAGGGCTTGATGCTGGAAGGCTCACTGGTTGTTAATATTTATTGTTTATAGTTGTTATATTAACTAGTGTATTGTTAGAACAATGCGCATCGCTGGATTTCACGCCTAATTGATCGGTGCGATTGTGCGTTCTGGCCACTTCGGAGCGCTCCGACGGGGTGGAAGTGTCCAGAACACACAGGCAGTACTTGGCTGCTGATGCTAGTTTAGTTAGTGCTCACAGTTCTGTTTCCATCATCGGCGGTGGTGGGGGAGTGGCAGATGCGCTCCATCGTTACCATCCATGATTACTTCCGTAAACATTGAGCATGCTCACTGCGTGTGACGTCGTCGTGTCCTCTTCTGCGACACTTTTGGGTCGTATGAAGTTCACACAGCAGATCACATACAAGTCGCATTGAACTGGAAACGTGAACGAACTTGCAAAAAAATCGGATTTCACTAAAAAATCCAAATTGAGCATCAAGTCCTGCAGTGTGAACGTAGCCAATCTGTGGGATTGTTCAGTCAGATAATACGCTGTTATCCTGATTGGTGACATAAAATGTCATGTCGGAGTCAGAATCCAAGGCTGTCGGTATGTTAAGGCTGTTTTTTTGGATTCCATTCGTGTTTCCTAAAAACCTGTCGGATAGCAAGGTTTGGGATTGTTAAGGGTCGGATTATCGAGTCAAGACTGTATAGTTGTGCCAAAAATCAATCTATACAATCCCAAACCAAATATGCTTAAGTGTAGGAAAACTGTAAAGCTTATTAGTAATTTGGTGTTTTTTATTAACATGCATAATATAAGGCGTTTAGGAGTTAGACTGCAGTGCACACAAGTTCTGCTGCACAGTTCCTACTTCACACTGAAACAACAACACATGCAGTTTTAGGCAACAGCGAAAGCCGAAGACTTAATTTTGAGATAATGCGTGTTGAAACCATAAAAGCCACGTTCATTACCTGTAATGCATTCAAATGTCACTTGCATTTTAAAATATAAAACAACCCGAAAAGCAACCATACCCAGGAGGTGTAACAAAGTCAATTTGGCTGTCATACAACGTTGAACAAATAATGAGTTCCCCAGTAATGAATTCTGAAAAGATTACAGATTCTTCCTGATGTTAATCTGCAATATAAACTTCAGGCAGTTTATTCAGATCTTTGTAGTGCTGTTTAGTTTTCAAACCACTGATTTAATGTGGAGATTACGGAACTGAGAAAACTTGATATTGCTTGTTTCGTCAAGTGTTTATGAGGATCGCTGACACAAATAGGCGAACACAAAGACGCCTATCTCACCTTAAAGCGTACGGGATTCTGTACGCGGTGTTTTCTCTATTTCTCATGAAGAACGAAGAGGTTGTTTTTCATTAAGACAACCAATAGCGGTTAATAGTTAAGACCTAATGCGCGATAAGCCGATAAATCTTTGTAGAGGTTTACCTCGAGGGTTATTCGTCGTCAGCATCTTTTTCAGGCGTCGGTTTACAGCTGAGAAGAAGGAAGATTTTTGTTCCAATATTTTCTCAGCTATGTTCCAGTGTGACACATTGTGTTTGGCTCCGGGGGATAATTTAACTGTTTACCAGCTCATAGACGAGGAGGCAATCATATATATACTTCAGGAGTCAAACATGTCAGCAGGGACTGACTAGAGTGCTCATTTTTCCCTCCGTGTGTGTGTGTGTGTGTGTGTGTTTGTGTTTCTATTGTGTGAATAGTGTATAATGTGTAGTGTTTCTGATGATAAAATAGAGCTTGAGTTTTTGTGCTGCATTTTATCCTCATGTTCTTATAAAGCATAACTCAGGCACCACGGAGCCGAATACCTTCATGTGTTTGTTTTTACGTTGGTCATAAGTAAATCCTGTAAATCTCCGGCGACTTTGCAGAAACAGCAGCAGCAGCAAATTGAAAGATGAGACACACAGATGAAATACGTACCTGCATCTGGCTAATATATTTTTTAAAGTTATTGTTTAACATAAACGAACAAAAGATATTCAGTTTATTGTAGTAAGTAATAGAAAAAAAACTGTATATTCACAGTTGAAAAAAGTCAGTTGTCAACATAGCTGCTGATTATTCATCCATTCATCATCTATGCATCGCTTAATCCTCACAAGGGTCATGGGGGGCTGGAGTCTGTCCCAGCTGACTCAGGGTGAAGGCAGGTTCACCTGGACAGGTAACCAGTCTATCACAGGGCTACACTTAGAGACAGACAACCAAGCACACTCACATTCACACCTACGGACAATTTAGAATCACCAATTAACCTCAGCATGGTTTTGGACTGTGGGAGGAAGCTGGAGAACCCGGAGAGAACCCACGCTGCACGGGGAGAACATGGAGACTCCATGCAGAAAGATCCCGGGTGTCCTCACCGGGATGTGAACCGGCTGCGAGGCAACGGTGCTAACCACTGAGCCACCAGTTAATGGATTCGTTTAACCTCTGAAACTAAACCATGTACCTCAGGACATTAAGAATTCACCGGTTTGATCAATCCTGCAGTACAGTAGGTGTTCAGGACAAAGTTGTTTATTCTATCGGTTCTGTTTGTTGTAGATATTTTTGAAGCAAGTTTAAAGTCTTTCAGTCACAAGACTTTTAGTTCTGTTTGTATGTTTGTAACCAAATTAACCTGGCAGTTCATATTGTAGTCTAACATTACAAAATAACAATATGATAATAAAGAAAAGGAAATAAACGCTGGGTTAGGAAACCTGCAGCGACATCCAGATCATTCTGCTGCTTTACTCGCATTATGCACTAACAATTAAAACACCTTCATTATCTCGCACGTTGTGGTTTTGTTTCCTCGCTGATCACAGCAATATTCACGTTCAGGGGCTTAAACATTAGGAGATCATCATAAAACCGGAACACAGCCATGGTCAGGCCGTGGCCATTGACTTTTGTCATTGGCATTAAAGCTGCTGGCCAGCCAGTCAGCTCATGATGATAATGTGTGTAATCCCGCCGTAACTTTTGTGCCAAGGCTATATGGCTAAAAGGGCTGGAGAGAGAGAGGCAGCCAGAGAGAGATTTTTCTACTCCGCCAGACGCAGTCTAGTATACTTGAGAGTTTGCTGAATAACTGCTGCTGATGATGACGGAAAATCGAAAGCCAGTGAGTAACAGTCATCGTGTAATATTCCCTATAACCTGCCGCTGAGTAGTAAATGCCTGGAACGTAGATTAGCATAATGTTGCACAGTTAATTAAAAGGGAAGAATTAAACTGATTTGTCATGGAATTATACAATTGAGTTTCCGTGATTAGATATGCTTTGTATTCATGTATCGCGTAGTTTATAGAAGAGGCAATTTCATTTCGACTGTTTCTATGAAATATTAAAGCCACTGCCGGAGCTGTTACACTCAAGCTCCTCCATCCTCGTGTCAGAATTACTTTACACTTTGCTAATTATCTTTGGCGGATGCACTTGAGTTCGTTTTATTGTTTGAACCCTCAAACAGGTAGTCGCTGGAAAACACCAGACGATTCTTGTACCGCTGGAAATAGAACAAAACTGTCCCACCTAAAGGAGAAGTGTTTTATCAGTCTCTGTAAATAATGCCTGATAATGACTGTGAGAAGAACAGATTAGGCCAATTAGGAGAAGGCATCTGGGACTGACATTAAGTGCATGCACATACATAGATTATCAAAGCTCTCTTGTAGTGAGATTCAGATTTATCTCTCCCTTCCTGTTTTACTTTGGCGCTCCGTCTCAGCACCTCAAATCCCCTCGCTAACACTCCTAGAAAATGATGCCTTGTAAATTTATCATGAGGAGGATTATTTGGGAGTGTTGCTGCTCCCGCTTCGCCCTCCTCCCAACCTCAATTAGGGGCAAACAGACAGACAGACGCAACCCTTCTCACCTCCCTTCCATTCCCACTAATGAGATCCCAGCATCCCCTCAATAAAGAAGCGTTTCTGCAATCATTCCTTCCATTTCTACTTGTCTGCACAGGGGACCTACACAGGCCATTAGAAGTGCTCCTTTTTCTCTGTGAGTCACCGTGCAGAGTGGTGGTGGTGGTGGTGGTGGTGGTGGTAGGGGGGTAAACACATGCTCCCCAACCTTCCTCTCTCTCTCTCTGCACACCTCCCGTTTTTCGCTGCTTCTCATTTGCCTCGTGCTTCCGTCCTCCGCCCACGTCCTATCCCCAAATATCTCTCTTGAGCCAGATGGATGTGAGTCTGGGTATGAATGAAAGAACGTAGAGGGAAAAAGGGCTGTTTATGACTCAGTGTTTCGTCTGCCTGATTCAGATTGCTCTCTGATTCAGACAGAATTTTGTTTTTCATGTGGTGAGAGAGAGAGAGAGAGAGAGAGACGGGGACAAAGTGAAGCACATGAGGATAGCTGACGAAGGAGCCGAAGATAGGTGCAGGTGGAGGTATAAACAGGGATCTTCATTAAAGGAAATATGTAATAAATGCTGAGGCAGTGAGAGAGAGAGAGTCATTGTATGTTAACATAGAACCAGCGTCTGCATTTCCCCCTCACTAAGGCACAGCTTGTGTTTTGTATTTGAAGTGATGCGAGATCTGCAAACCTGTGACTCATATGGAGAGACGGGCCGACTGACAGGCTGGTTGAAGCCGAGATGAGAGCACAACCCACATATAATGATATGATATTTCACTGATCTTGCTGAAATTTGTCTTCCCGGGGATGTCAGAGGTCAGGGCCGGATACCGAGCAGCCTTCCTAGAGCTAATACGAATTCG